GACGTGGCCAGTGAGACTAGACACAGAACGCTGTAAATGCGAGTAGATAAGTGGTACCTACTTATCTACTCGTATTTACATGCTTTCAAACTGCTAGGTTGGCAGGAGCTGGGACAGGCAACAGGAGCTCACTCCATCGCGTGGATTCATCTTACGACTGCTGGTCTTCTGACCTTGTAGCACGGAGGCTTCTGCAGTTTAACCCGCAGCGCCACCTCATCACTTGTAGAACAGCTATAAAATATATATATTTGTGTGTTTGCAGAGAGATTGGTATATAACCATTATAAAGTCCTGTTTGCATCTAGTGATGCATGTCCTTAGGACTCTTTTTTCCCTTTTGTGTAGTTTCCTGTGCTCTTGTATTGATTTATCAAGCTCGGTATTAGGAGTTGGTGTCAATATGTATTTCAAATCAAAACTAATATGCTCATGACCCTCCTCACCACCTCTGAATTAATCCGATCCTAAGGCCTTTTGTCCTCTTCTTAGTGCAGTTAAGATTCTCTTTGGTTACACATTTTTTTAAAAAGTGCATGTATGCCTGAGTTTACGTAGAGGACATTCGTAGATGCAAATAAACCACCTTTTCTGCATACTCTACCATCTCTTTCAGCTGTTCAGAGATGTAAGATCATAAGGAGAAATCATTGAAATTATCTGTGTACAGATATGTCTGTCAGCCACATTATAACACATTTCAGACCCAGCCTCTGGGATTACAGGAATCAGTCCTAGTTGTCTTTGCTTAGGCTTGTTCACCCTGACATTTTCTCCAGAAGGATCTTTATCCTGTAAAAGTGGGAAGGTGTAGTGGTAAGAAAGAATAAAATAAAATAAGTGTTTGTGTATGGCTGTGTGTGTGAAATGCACATGAATGAAGTCATTTAATCTCTTCTGTAATGTGTACAATGGGACTTACGGATCTCATCTTCAGTGAGATTGTACTCAGAAGGCCTCTGGAGCCATATATTTTGACTACCTTAAGTTGAGTTTGCAAGTTTCTCTCTGCACATTAAGAGCAAAGGTGTATAATGCAGAAGCGTTGATACTTGGAATTTTGCATTCTCCTCTTCTGTGAAAAACCAAAAGTTAATTTTCTGTATAGACCTTTTGAGGTTGCTATGATCCTGATAACTAAATTTTTAAAAATAATGTTATAGAGCTGCTATTTTTGCCTTTTGTTTCCTTTAAATGTTACTGACTGTTTTTATTCTTCAGCTATGCAAAAGCAGCATTTTGCTTGGAGGAGCTCATGATGACTAACCCTCACAATCACTTATATTGCCAGCAGTTTGCAGAGGTGAGTGTTTTAGAACATTTGGGGCAGCTCGGAGTTTTCCTGTCTGAGCAGCCAGTTGGCAAGGTATATTATTCCTACAGTCTGCCCACTAATTGTCTCCAGTGACTGCCAGTCATAGTCTCTTGCCATGGTTGAATCACTTCCAATCACCTCTGTCTCTGTGTAAGACAATCTTATCTTGCAGTAAGGATACCATAAGAGTGAGTTTATGGGTGTGGGTGGGCTTCAATTAAAGATTAAATATCTCACACATTTTTTAAAAAAAATTGTTTGTCAAACGGTGTTAGTCTGGTGTTTTTATTTAGAGAGGAAACATACCTCCTGTTTCCATTTCTGGGGTTTATGATGAATGGCAGAACTTTTCAGAATGCTTAGATGAAAAGTTAAATTGAAGCTTACATGTCAATGTCATATTTGCTATAGGTTAAATATACCCAAGGAGGGCTTGAAAACCTTGAGCTATCGAGAAAATATTTTGCACAGGCGTTGAAATTGAACAATCGAAATATGAGAGCACTATTTGGATTGTACATGGTGAGTTGGAAGGCATTTCACTTGTTATCCTAAGAAAATGTATTTTGGTATTTGAACTTAGGCACGGGGGGAGTAGAAAGGAAAAAATTACTAAACTTGGCGTTGAATGAGTCGTTACAGGAGATTCTTTGCATGAGTTTGAGTTGGCCCTTAGGTACATAGGAGATATGTATTGGCAGCAGGTGATGTATCTTTTCTTCTGTTCTCATTAGGCACATCTTAATCTCAGTATTTCCAGCCTGTAACGACAACCCACTTGTTAGGTATCATAATTCTAGGATAAAAGTTAACTTGAAATATAAAATTGCTGAATAATATCACATTGAGAAGTATGATTGCATTGTCCTGTAGCAGTGATTAATTTGTCCTGTGGCTTATTTAAAATTTGCAATGGGATTACAAAAATTTATCCCTTAGAAAGGCTTAGGCATGAGTAATCACATTCAAGAACTAATTCTGCTTTTGTGGATTCCTTTTTTTGGTAGCAAGACTGTGTGTATATTTGTGTACGTAACAAGTGCAGATAATAAACCTTATTTCATTAGAGCAAAATGGGTGTGTGCATGTGATTGAACGATTTATGCATTGTTTTCCAATCTGTATCTGTACAGGAAATCATTACATAATTACATTACATTATATACAGCAGTGATCCCCAACCTTGGGCCTCCAGATGTTCTTGGACTTCAGCTCCCAGAAATCCTGGCCAGCAAAGGTGGTGGTGAAGGCTTCTGGGAGTTGTAGTCCAAGAACATCTGGAGGCCCAAGGTTGGGGACCACTGATATACAGAATGGCTCTTTCTGTCACAAAGCTTTAAAAGTTGTAAAATGCAACCACATGGAGTGGGATTAGATTCAGGACAAACAGCTTGGAGTGCATGAACATAGGTCCTTCCAGCCCAATCTTAAATAGCAAGAGCTTCATGCATTTTCCTCCTTGACGTGAGTCACTGTTCTCCTGCTGTTGCTTCTCCGCTTGCACACTGAGAGCGGGGGCTGAGATGCATGTAATCATTCCTTTTTTCTTGGCTTATGGCTCTCCTGTTAGCAAGGAATTGAGCAACAGCAGCCGGTGCTGTAGAGAATTAGCGGTACTGAGACTGTCAGACTGTCTCCTTGACATTAAGAAATTAAAGGTTCTTATAAGGTTTTCGGTGGAAGGAAAGGCAACTTTTGTGATGGAACATTAAAAAAAAACTTCTAGGTTCATTACTAGAAAAGCAGATATGATGTTGTTATCTTGGCTTTATCAGTGATATACTTGTTCTTTAGTACAAAATTCTACAGTACAGATGAATTTTACAGCTGCTGGCTTGGCAAAGATCACACAAAAAGTTTTGTCCTTTTTTAAAAAAAGGCTTTAAATAAAGCACTGAGGGTGTTTTAGTTGCTTATATCTAATTTACTCTTCAAATTGTGCTACAAATTCTTCTAGCACACCTTAAATAGCAGAATTCTGGAATTTATGAGGCTTTGAATGTGTATGGTTAAAGCACAGTACCTTTTATTGGTGTCAACAGAGGAGGGTCAAATATTGAATAGTTATCTTATGAAATAACAGTTAAACCTTTTCCCTCTCGAAGTGGTCTATGATTATGGTTTTACTGCCTGTTGACAAGACATAGTTTTTTTTAGTGCTGCCAAATCAAATAAAAATTCCCGTAGAACAGGAACAATGTGCTGTCTGGATGTCAGTATTTCCTAGAAATAGGATCATTCCTGTTCTTTCTGTGTTAATGGCAGTATTTCTGTTAACTTGCTCTAACATTTATGTTTTAGTACTTATAACCGAAATAGCATAATTTTTATGCACTCAGGCCTTCTTTTTCAAAAAGCATTGTGTTCCAAGGTTCCCTCTGTGGTTGTTCGAAGCATGGTGGAAATGCAAAATGGCTGTTTAGGTGTACCTTCAGATTTGTGAAAGTGTATTGAGTTTTTCTTTAAAGAGAAAGTTGGTATGTAGCATCATAGAGAGATTTAGAAATTCACCTGAGTGTTTTCTCGTATGGTATAGGAAACTGCCATTTGTGAATCTCAAGTCCAGTGGGATAAAGAATTTGATTGCATCTAGTTCTGCATCTCATTGCCTCATTTTTCGGATTCTCTTAGTGGAGCTCACCTGGTTGTCAGCACATCTTGTGAGAGCCTCCTGCTTCGGAGAATTGAAATCTTTTGTTTCTGGGTTTTTAATTAGTTAGTTAGTTAGTTAGTTAGTTAGTTAGTTAGTTAGTTAGTTAGTTAGT